AGTTGAGTTAATGCCAAAGAGCTCAATTTTGGTCTCAATTTTTGGAGCCTTCTCTGAATCATTTAGATGTTCTTTGGCAAACTTTAAACGGGCCTGTACATGTGCCTTGTTGAGCAGGGGGACCTTGCGGGCGCTGCAGGATTTCAGTCCATTGCGGCATAGTGTGTTACCAATGTTTTGCTTGGTGACTGTGGGACCAACTGCCTTAAGATTATTAACAAGCTCCTCCCGTGTAGTTCGGGGCTGATCCCTCACCTTTCTCATGATCATCCTTACCCCATGAGGCAAGATCTTGCACGGAGCTCCAGACTGAGGCCGATTGATGGTTGTTTTGTATTTCTTCCATTTCAGAATAATAACAGTTGTCTCCTTCTCACCAAGCTTCTTGCTGATGGTCTTGTAGCCCATTCCAGCCTTGTGCAGATCTACAATCTTGTCTCTGACATCCTTTGACAGCTCTTTGGTCTTGCCCATGGTGGTGGGAGAGGTTGGAATGGAAGATACAGATTGTGTGGACAGGTGTCTTATACACCTAACGAGCTGACATTAGGAGTAACTTCTTAAAGTGACAGAACTAATCTGTGTTCCACATGGGCACATAACCAATCTGTGGGAGCCAGAATTCTTGTTGGTTGGTAGGGGATCAAATACTTATTTCACTCACTGAAATGCAAATCAATTTCTAACCTTTATATAATGTGTTTTTTCTGGATTTTTTGGTCGATATTCTATCTCTATCCGTTAAAATAAACCTACCATAGAAATTACAGACCCTTCATTTCTTTGTAAGTGGGCAAACTTACAAAATCAGCAGGGGATCAATATATGAATATATATATCATAAATATAAATATAAATGAATATATGTGCTTTGGCTGTAGCTTAATTTACCCTGATTCACCATACCCTGATTTTCCATAACTGAAGTGGAAATTATCACAGTCTATACAAGGATTTAACACATCTGGTGTTGTATTTGATGAGAAAGAGGATAATGATCAGTGGATAAAGGTTTCATGTGATTTCCTCTTGTGTAAACAAGTTATTAGTCACCTAGATATAATGACAGACATGCTACAGATTGACCTACATGTTATATTCAGTTGAAATAACTTGCACTTATCATTCTCTTGTGAATGTCCTCAGAGTCCTTCAAAACTGTCTATCGGTTTTTTTTTTTCAGGAGGTCTTTGTATCGCACAGTCCATTAAAATTCCTAGGGAGCCAAGACCAGGAGAGTTTGACAAGATCATCAAAAGGCTAATGGAGACATCCAATGCCAGAGGGGTTATTATCTTCGCTAATGAAGATGACATCAAGTGAGTAGCCTTTCAGTAGTAATTCTGAATCTCTCTGAGGCAGGAGGTATGGCCTTGGAAAGGGTTTATAAATGATTAGAGAACAGATCAATCACCTTACAATGAGAATATCAGGCGTCTTGGAAGAAATTATGGCAAATGAATGTACCACAGTGTGAATTTTTCATCTAATTTAATTTGCATTTACATAATATAATTTTAATTTGCATAATATAAAATGCTGCTAATACATAATAATTAAATATATATATATATATATATATATATATTAAAAATGATAAATATTATATATA